GAAAGGGGGAGCAGGAGATTCAGGGGAACACGGAATCTATCTTCTTAGAAAGAAAGGGGAAGGGGAGGTACAGGGGAACACGAAACCTATTTCCTTAGCAAGAAAGGGGATGTACAGGGGACCACAAAACCTAGCTCTTAGTAAGAAAGGGGGAAGTACAGGGGAACACGAAACCTATCTCTTAGTAAGAAAGGGGGAAGTACAGGGGAACACGAAACCTTTCTCCTTAGCAAGAATGTAGGAGGGGGAAGTACAGGGGAACACGGAACACATCTCCTTACAAAGAAAGGGGTAGGGGGGGGGGGGTTACAGGGGAACACGAATCATATCCCCTTGGGAAGAAAGCGGAGGTACATGGGAACACGAAACCTTTCTCCTTAGCAAGAATGTAGGAGGGAGAAGTACAGGGGAACACGGAACACATCTTCTTACAAAGAAAGGGGTAGGGGGAGGTACAGGGGAACAAGAAACATATCTCGTTAGAAAGAAAATGGGAGATTCAGGAGAACACGTAACCTATCATCTTAGAAAGAAAGGGGATGGGGAAGTACAGGGGAAAACGAAACCTATCTCCTTAATAAGAAAGGGGGAGGGTGAGGAACAGGGAACACAAAACGTATCTCCTTAGAAATAATAGGAGAGTGGGAGGTACAGTGGAACACGAAACCTATCATCTTAGAAAGAAAGGGGAAGGGGAGGTCACGTAAGCATGTATAGTTTGTCTATAAATGGTAAGTTTTAATTTGAGTTTGTTTTGCGGTGTAAGGACTCTTAATTGTCCGCACCACTGGGCGGATATACGTCACGGGCTTGACCGGTTGTGCACGGAATGGACACTTGTTTACGGTCCACAGTTTTGTGAGTTCGTGTAGCCGATATGTAAATATAGCTGTTTCCGATATTGTGAACAAGGCACAGACGACAGACTGTGGTAAGTTATGTTTCTTTCTTCCGTTTCCATATGTTTTTTTTCTGGCATTATTTTATCCATGCCGTCAAATCTATCGGGTCAAGCAATCGAGGTGTCGGTGCGCTCCAATCATGCGTAACTATTGTTGATACATGTAGTACACTTGTTTTGTGGTGTGTTTCTGCTATATCATTTTAATTTCATACTTCCTATTGATTTCTGGTGTATTTAGATAATATAAACATAATAGATTGTTGTGTGTAGAATTATTTAATAAATATAGGGTTCTTGTCCGTTTTAAAATTCTATGGAAGCTCTGAGCTAGAGCTATAGCGTTAGTTGGAGTGTGTACGCGCACTGGGTAAAAAAGTATGGAAGCCGTGAGACGCCAACTTCTATGAATTGTGCTTAGTCGTGTTTTTATAGCCATTTGGAGCCGCACACTTATCCCTTTATCTTTATTATATTGATTTACGTATATTTACAATATATTAATGAATATTTATATTATTGATAATTAATTATTAGTTAATTAGTATGCCAGGTGAGAGTGAATCTGTGTGACTACAGCATTATTTTCCACTATGTATTATTGTAGCTTCACATAACGGACTAGGATTCTCAGCTATCAAGCCAGGACCAGTCAGCTGTGCCAACTCATTGTGACTCCAGCGTCAGGACCGACCGGATAAGTTCTCTTCGCCAGGGTCAAGGTCAGCATGGAATACATGTGTTGGGTCGTTACGTAGGCCAGGGTCAGCGACTTGCTTGGAGGCTGAGTCACAGTATATCTACTATTGGGATGGCTGTCGTGTCAAGGACACTAGTGTGTACATCCCAGCTTTCCTGTCGTGTCTTGGACACTAGTGAGTTTGCCAATTTGGGCGTTTCAAGCAAGCATGGTGCTGCTTGATGTGTTTATACCTCTTGGCTCTGGATTGAGCGTGGTTGCAGGTTAGCGACTGTCTTGCACCGGAACTGTACCAGGATCCCATTCGTCGTTGTGTGTGTAGCTACAGACTGTAACTTGTAATAATTGTGTTTGTGAATGAGTGAATTAGTGAGTGTGACGTGTGGGTATTATAGGTTTTTTTTTTTTATTTAATCTCTTTATTGTCATCATTGTAAATAAACATTTGTCATTGCAATCAATCTTTTCGGTGTTCATTCCCCGGATCGCTGACCGACGCTCGTTCCACGTTAACAACATGGTGGCAGCGGTGGGATTAGCCAAAGTTAGTTGTTCGGGAATAGAATCCTGTTTGATTGGTTTCAAAGTCTAGATTGTTTGACAGATTCCCGCCAAATTTCCTTTACTTTCATTTTCTTCTTAACGTTGGCATTTGGGGACTCTATACAGGAACTCTGAGGTGAGTTAATTGGCCTAAGCAAGGATGACGCATGACTTCCGGTAAGTTCTTATGCCTGGTTGTATTGAATATTGTATGTGTTGGTTATCTCTTGCAGTCTAGTGATTTAGTTGTTTTGAAAATGTCCTCTCTTTCAGCAATTTTGGAAGCAGGTAAGCGACTTCAACTTGAAGGCGACCAACTACGATTGTTCATTCAAGAGCAGCAAGCCAAGGAAAGAGATGACCGTGAAAGAGAAAGGGAAGAGAAAAAGATGCAAAGGCAAATGGAAGAGGAAAGAGAGGCTCGGGCTGACAGGAGAGCAGAAGAAGAACATAAACGCAAAATGGAATTAATTCGTGCAGAACAGGAGTATCAATCTGAATGGGACAAATCGGGACGTCGGAGGGAGACCAATCCTAGAGATACAATAAAGAAGGGTCCCAAGTTACCTGCCTTCAATGAAGAAAAGGACAACATCGATGCTTACATCCAGCGCTTCGAACGGTACGCAACGGTACAGAATTGGGAACGTGATGGATGGGGAGCTAACCTTAGCGCTCTTTTGACGGGTAATGCATTAGCGGTGTTTTCTCGTTTACCAGTCCATCAGTCTCTGGATTTCGACGAACTTAAGAAGGCATTACTGAGGAGATTTGATATGACAGGGGAAGGATTCAGGAAAAGCTTCCGAACATCAAGACCCGATGGAAGTGAAACATTTTCACAGTTTTCCATTCGCCTTGAAAACTACTTGGAGAGATGGGTCGAACTAGCCGACACTAACAAGACCTATGAAGACTTGAAAGACTTGTTTTTGAGAGATCAGTTTTTACAGGTATGTAACCAGGATCTGATGTTGTTCCTGAAGGAACGGATTCCCGTGTCCCTTGATGCAATGTCCAGACTGGCCGATCAATATGCAGAGGCAAGAAGAATGAAAGCGGCAAACTTGATATCTTCTAAGGGAACCAAGGCAGGAAGTCATAAGGCAACAGCTTCAGGACATTCGCCGTCAACAAGTTCTACACCTGGGAAATCTACAATTGGTTCAAGCGACTTGCCCAAGGAGAGGACTTGTTTCTATTGCAAAAAGGTTGGACATATTGCTTCAGATTGCCGGAAGAAGAAATCTGACAAGATGAAAGAAGGTCAGGCAGCCTCTATGGTAAAAGATAAAGGGAACACGAGTGGCGCCAACACCATACCGAAGATGAGTGTCGCCTGCAATACAAAGGAGACAACTTCCATGCCGGTGGTGCTGGGACGTGTGGGCGGTAAAGTTGTCACCGTTCTTCGGGATTCGGGTTGTGATGAGGTAGGAGTGAGACGTAGTCTCGTTGAACCTGAGAATATCACCGACAAGACCAAGACTTACATTTTAGCTGATGGTTCTCGTCTTGTATGCCAAATCGCCAACGTACAGATCAACACGCCATATTTTAACGGAGATACTGAAGCCTTCTTGTTAGAGTCACCCTTGTACGATGTGATTATTGGAAATGTTAAGGATGCCCTTCCGGTAGGACAACCAGATGAGAAGTGGCAGCTTGATTCGTTGAATGCGGTTCAGACGAGAGCGGAGGTCAAGAGGAAAGCTAAGCCGTTGAAACCGTTGCAGGTATCGGAGTTTATGACGAGTTTAGGTAGTGTGAAGGAGATGAAGGAGGAACAGCAAAGCGATGGTACCCTGGAGAAGTTCCGTAAGTTGGCAAAGGAATCGGATACGTATGAACGCGATGATGGGGGTAAGTCTTCCCTGTTTTACCACAAGGGATTAATATATCGAGAGTTCAGAAGCCCTGGGATTGCAACTGGAAAGGTGTTTAGACAATTAGTCGTACCAACGAAGTATCGACAGATGATAATGAAACTAGCTCACGAGTCGATTATGTCGGGACATCTGGCAGCAAAACGAACGACTAACAGGATTCTTGCAGAGTTTTTTTGGCCTGGTCTGCAGGGCGATGTGACTCGGTTCTGTCGTTCGTGTGATGTGTGCCAACGTACCTTCCCTAAAGGCCGAGTACCGAAAGCGCCACTCGGCAGTATGCCATTGATCGATACGCCTTTCAAGAGGATAGCGGTGGATTTAGTTGGTCCTCTCGAACCTGCAACAGACCGTGGCAACCGGTTTATACTGACAGTAGTGGATTTCGCGACTAGATATCCGGAGGCAGTAGCACTTAGAAGCATTGAGACTGAGCGCGTTGCAGAGGCACTGGTTGATATCTTCAGCCGTGTTGGAGTACCCAGTGAGATGTTGTCCGATCAAGGGGCCCAGTTTACCTCTGGATTAATGAAGGAAGTGAGCAGACTATTGTCGATCCGCCAACTAACGACAACGCCATATCATCCTCAATGCAACGGGTTAGTCGAGCGTTTCAATGGTACACTGAAACAGATGCTAAGGAAAATGGCCGCTGAGAAACCCAAGGACTGGGATAGATACATCAATGCCCTCTTGTTCGCTTATAGGGAGGTGCCGCAAGAAAGCTTGGGGTTTTCACCCTTTGAACTATTGTACGGCAGAGCGATACGTGGACCGATGATGATTCTGAAAGAACTGCTAACGAAAGAGATTCCAGATGACGACGTCAAAACGACTTATCAGTATGTAATGGATTTGAGGGATCGGATGGAGGAGACATGCCAAGTTGCAATGGATCACTTGAAGGATGCCAAGCGAGTTCAGAGAAGGAACTTCAACAGGAGAGCCAAGTCACGGGAGCTACGACCAGGCGACAAAGTGTTAGTGCTTCTGCCGACAAAAGCTAACAAGTTACTGATGCAATGGCGTGGCCCATACGAAGTTGTAGAGAAAGTCGGACCGTTCGACTATCGTGTGAACAGGGACGGTAAAATCAAGACTCTACATATTAACCTGTTGAAAAAGTACATGAAGCCAGTGGACAATGTTGCGGAAGATACTGAGGGAATTCTCGCAAACACTATAGCAAGTGTTGTTGCTGATGGTGAGGAGATTCAGGGGGACGCGGATTTTCCCAGCAGACTGGAGTCCCTTCCTAGTGATAGGGGAAAGGAACATGTTGAAGATGTTGAAATCTCTGGAGGCCTGAACAATGCACAAGCAGATGAAGTGAAGGAGCTCATGGACAGTTATACAGATGTGCTAACTGATCTTCCAGGCCGGACAAATCTCGCCCAACATGAGATCAGGACTACTACCGATGCTCCCGTTCATGTGAAACAATACCCCTTGCCTTATATTACCAAGGAGGTGATCAAAGAAGAGGTGCAGAAGATGTTGGATATGGACGTTATCGAGCCATCATCATCCCCATACTCGGCTCCTGTTGTAATGGTCAAGAAAAAGGAGGGGACGAATCGTTTTTGCATTGATTTCAGGAGACTAAATCGAGTCACGGTATTTGATGCCGAGCCGATGCCAAACACAGATGATATTTTCTCTCGGGTAGCGGGTGCAAGATACTTCTCCAAACTGGATCTCAGTAAAGGCTATTGGCAGGTGCCGCTCTCGGAAGACGCAAAAGAGATGACAGCCTTTTCAACTCCACAAGGCCTTTTCCAGTTTAAGGTAATGCCGTTTGGCTTAGTAAATGCCCCGGCAACATTTAGTAGGCTGATGAGGAAACTTTTAGTTGGTATGGAACACATCGATAACTTCATCGACGACATATTGATTTACACAGACACATGGGAAGAACATATGGAAGTACTTCGCGATCTTTTTGCAAGGCTTCGAGCAGCAGTGCTAACAGCAAGACCAACAAAATGCTCGATTGGATTTTCCAGTTTGACTTGTTTGGGTCACATTGTTGGTGATGGAAAATTGGAATTGGAAGAGTCGAAAGTGACGGCCATCAAAAACGCAGAGAGACCAGAGACAAAGAAACAAGTTCGCTCTTTTTTGGGGTTGGCCGGATTCTATCGGCGTTTCATTCCTAATTTCGCAGCAGTTGCCGCCCCCTTGACTGATCTGACGAAGAAGGGATGTCCAAATAAAGTTCTTTGGAGCGAAGTGCACGATAAGGCATTCTCTACTCTCAAGAACATGCTAACAGCTAAACCGGTGCTCAGACTTCCAAATTTGGAGCAACAGTTCATTCTCCGAACAGACGCATCGGATACTGGCTTGGGTGCTGTGCTGCTGCAGGAAGAAAACGGACAGAAAATGCCTGTCGCCTACGCCAGCAGGAAGTTACTTGCCAGGGAAAAGAACTACGCAATTATAGAAAAGGAATGTTTGGCAATTGTCTGGGCAGTCCAGAAGTTTGAACCTTACATCTATGGGAAAGAGTTTATCCTTGAGACGGACCATCACCCATTAACTTACTTGCACAGATCAAAAACTGCGAATGCCAGACTTATGAGATGGGCGTTACTCCTACAGCCATACAGATTGAGGATTCGTGCCATCAAGGGTTCCGACAACGTTGGAGCGGACTATTTGAGCAGAATCTAGGAATACATGTTCCGTGAGTATGAGAAAGTGTATCCACTTTCTTCGAAAGCAGGGGGAAAACTGTCACGTAAGCATGTATAGTTTGTCTATAAATGGTAAGTTTTAATTTGAGTTTGTTTTGCGGTGTAAGGACTCTTAATTGTCCGCACCACTGGGCGGATATACGTCACGGGCTTGACCGGTTGTGCACGGAATGGACACTTGTTTACGGTCCACAGTTTTGTGAGTTCGTGTAGCCGATATGTAAATATAGCTGTTTCCGATATTGTGAACAAGGCACAGACGACAGACTGTGGTAAGTTATGTTTCTTTCTTCCGTTTCCATATGTTTTTTTTTTTTTCTGGCATTATTTTATCCATGCCGTCAAATCTATCGGGTCAAGCAATCGAGGTGTCGGTGCGCTCCAATCATGCGTAACTATTGTTGATACATGTAGTACACTTGTTTTGTGGTGTGTTTCTGCTATATCATTTTAATTTCATACTTCCTATTGATTTCTGGTGTATTTAGATAATATAAACATAATAGATTGTTGTGTGTAGAATTATTTAATAAATATAGGGTTCTTGTCCGTTTTAAAATTCTATGGAAGCTCTGAGCTAGAGCTATAGCGTTAGTTGGAGTGTGTACGCGCACTGGGTAAAAAAGTATGGAAGCCGTGAGACGCCAACTTCTATGAATTGTGCTTAGTCGTGTTTTTATAGCCATTTGGAGCCGCACACTTATCCCTTTATCTTTATTATATTGATTTACGTATATTTACAATATATTAATGAATATTTATATTATTGATAATTAATTATTAGTTAATTAGTATGCCAGGTGAGAGTGAATCTGTGTGACTACAGCATTATTTTCCACTATGTATTATTGTAGCTTCACATAACGGACTAGGATTCTCAGCTATCAAGCCAGGACCAGTCAGCTGTGCCAACTCATTGTGACTCCAGCGTCAGGACCGACCGGATAAGTTCTCTTCGCCAGGGTCAAGGTCAGCATGGAATACATGTGTTGGGTCGTTACGTAGGCCAGGGTCAGCGACTTGCTTGGAGGCTGAGTCACAGTATATCTACTATTGGGATGGCTGTCGTGTCAAGGACACTAGTGTGTACATCCCAGCTTTCCTGTCGTGTCTTGGACACTAGTGAGTTTGCCAATTTGGGCGTTTCAAGCAAGCATGGTGCTGCTTGATGTGTTTATACCTCTTGGCTCTGGATTGAGCGTGGTTGCAGGTTAGCGACTGTCTTGCACCGGAACTGTACCAGGATCCCATTCGTCGTTGTGTGTGTAGCTACAGACTGTAACTTGTAATAATTGTGTTTGTGAATGAGTGAATTAGTGAGTGTGACGTGTGGGTATTATAGGTTTTTTTTTTATTTAATCTCTTTATTGTCATCATTGTAAATAAACATTTGTCATTGCAATCAATCTTAAGAGATGATGTGAATGGGACAAATCAGCGGGACGACTTCAACTTGAAGGCGACCAACTACGATTGTTCATTCAAGAGAGCAAGCCAAGGAAAGAGAATCGTGAAAGAGAAAGGGAAGAGAAAAAGATGCAAAGGCAAATGGAAGAGGAAAGAGAGGCTCGGGCTGACAGGAGAGCAGAAGAAGAACATAAACGCAAAATGGAATTAATTCGTGCAGAACAGGAGTATCAATCTGAATGGGACAAATCGGGACGTCGGAGGGAGACCAATCCTAGAGATACAATAAAGAAGGGTCCCAAGTTACCTGCCTTCAATGAAGAAAAGGACAACATCGATGCTTACATCCAGCGCTTCGAACGGTACGCAACGGTACAGAATTGGGAACGTGATGGATGGGGAGCTAACCTTAGCGCTCTTTTGACGGGTAATGCATTAGCGGTGTTTTCTCGTTTACCAGTCCATCAGTCTCTGGATTTCGACGAACTTAAGAAGGCATTACTGAGGAGATTTGATATGACAGGGGAAGGATTCAGGAAAAGCTTCCGAACATCAAGACCCGATGGAAGTGAAACATTTTCACAGTTTTCCATTCGCCTTGAAAACTACTTGGAGAGATGGGTCGAACTAGCCGACACTAACAAGACCTATGAAGACTTGAAAGACTTGTTTTTGAGAGATCAGTTTTTACAGGTATGTAACCAGGATCTGATGTTGTTCCTGAAGGAACGGATTCCCGTGTCCCTTGATGCAATGTCCAGACTGGCCGATCAATATGCAGAGGCAAGAAGAATGAAAGCGGCAAACTTGATATCTTCTAAGGGAACCAAGGCAGGAAATCATAAGGCAACAGCTTCAGGACATTCGCCGTCAACAAGTTCTACACCTGGGAAATCTACAATTGGTTCAAGCGACTTGCCCAAGGAGAGGACTTGTTTCTATTGCAAAAAGGTTGGACATATTGCTTCAGATTGCCGGAAGAAGAAATCTGACAAGATGAAAGAAGGTCAGGCAGCCTCTATGGTAAAAGATAAAGGGAACACGAGTGGCGCCAACACCATACCGAAGATGAGTTTCGCCTGCAATACAAAGGAGACAACTTCCATGCCGGTGGTGCTGGGACGTGTGGGCGGTAAAGTTGTCACCGTTCTTCGGGATTCGGGTTGTGATGAGGTAGGAGTGAGACGTAGTCTCGTTGAACCTGAGAATATCACCGACAAGACCAAGACTTACATTTTAGCTGATGGTTCTCGTCTTGTATGCCAAATCGCCAACGTACAGATCAACACGCCATATTTTAACGGAGATACTGAAGCCTTCTTGTTAGAGTCACCCTTGTACGATGTGATTATTGGAAATGTTAAGGATGCCCTTCCGGTAGGACAACCAGATGAGAAGTGGCAGCTTGATTCGTTGAATGCGGTTCAGACGAGAGCGGAGGTCAAGAGGAAAGCTAAGCCGTTGAAACCGTTGCAGGTATCGGAGTTTATGACGAGTTTAGGTAGTGTGAAGGAGATGAAGGAGGAACAGCAAAGCGATGGTACCCTGGAGAAGTTCCGTAAGTTGGCAAAGGAATTGGATACGTATGAACGCGATGATGGGGGTAAGTCTTCCCTGTTTTACCACAAGGGATTAATATATCGAGAGTTCAGAAGCCCTGGGATTGCAACTGGAAAGGTGTTTAGACAATTAGTCGTACCAACGAAGTATCGACAGATGATAATAAAACTAGCTCACGAGTCGATTATGTCGGGACATCTGGCAGCAAAACGAACGACTAACAGGATTCTTGCAGAGTTTTTTTGGCCTGGTCTGCAGGGCGATGTGACTCGGTTCTGTCGTTCGTGTGATGTGTGCCAACGTACCTTCCCTAAAGGCCGAGTACCGAAAGCGCCACTCGGCAGTATGCCATTGATCGATACGCCTTTCAAGAGGATAGCGGTGGATTTAGTTGGTCCTCTCGAACCTGCAACAGACCGTGGCAACCGGTTTATACTGACAGTAGTGGATTTCGCGACTAGATATCCGGAGGCAGTAGCACTTAGAAGCATTGAGACTGAGCGCGTTGCAGAGGCACTGGTTGATATCTTCAGCCGTGTTGGAGTACCCAGTGAGATGTTGTCCGATCAAGGGGCCCAGTTTACCTCTGGATTAATGAAGGAAGTGAGCAGACTATTGTCGATCCGCCAACTAACGACAACGCCATATCATCCTCAATGCAACGGGTTAGTCGAGCGTTTCAATGGTACACTGAAACAGATGCTAAGGAAAATGGCCGCTGAGAAACCCAAGGACTGGGATAGATACATCAATGCCCTCTTGTTCGCTTATAGGGAGGTGCCGCAAGAAAGCTTGGGGTTGTCACCCTTTGAACTATTGTACGGCAGAGCGATACGTGGACCGATGATGATTCTGAAAGAACTGCTAACGAAAGAGATTCCAGATGACGACGTCAAAACGACTTATCAGTATGTAATGGATTTGAGGGAACGGATGGAGGAGACATGCCAAGTTGCAATGGATCACTTGAAGGATGCCAAGCGAGTTCAGAGAAGGAACTTCAACAGGAGAGCCAAGTCACGGGAGCTACGACCAGGCGACAAAGTGTTAGTGCTTCTGCCGACAAAAGCTAACAAGTTACTGATGCAATGGCGTGGCCCATACGAAGTTGTAGAGAAAGTCGGACCGTTCGACTATCGTGTGAACAGGGACGGTAAAATCAAGACTCTACATATTAACCTGTTGAAAAAGTACATGAAGCCAGTGGACAATGTTGCGGAAGATACTGAGGGAATTCTCGCAAACACTATAGCAAGTGTTGTTGCTGATGGTGAGGAGATTCAGGGGGACGCGGATTTTCCCAGCAGACTGGAGTCCCTTCCTAGTGATAGGGGAAAGGAACATGTTGAAGATGTTGAAATCTCTGGAGGCCTGAACAATGCACAAGCAGATGAAGTGAAGGAGCTCATGGACAGTTATACAGATGTGCTAACTGATCTTCCAGGCCGGACAAATCTCGCCCAACATGAGATCAGGACTACTACCGATGCTCCCGTTCATGTGAAACAATACCCCTTGCCTTATATTACCAAGGAGGTGATCAAAGAAGAGGTGCAGAAGATGTTGGATATGGACGTTATCGAGCCATCATCATCCCCATACTCGGCTCCTGTTGTAATGGTCAAGAAAAAGGAGGGGACGAATCGTTTTTGCATTGATTTCAGGAGACTAAATCGAGTCACGGTATTTGATGCCGAGCCGATGCCAAACACAGATGATATTTTCTCTCGGGTAGCGGGTGCAAGATACTTCTCCAAACTGGATCTCAGTAAAGGCTATTGGCAGGTGCCGCTCTCGGAAGACGCAAAAGAGATGACAGCCTTTTCAACTCCACAAGGCCTTTTCCAGTTTAAGGTAATGCCGTTTGGCTTAGTAAATGCCCCGGCAACATTTAGTAGGCTGATGAGGAAACTTTTAGTTGGTATGGAACACATCGATAACTTCATCGACGACATATTGATTTACACAGACACATGGGAAGAACATATGGAAGTACTTCGCGATCTTTTTGCAAGGCTTCGAGCAGCAGTGCTAACAGCAAGACCAACAAAATGCTCGATTGGATTTTCCAGTTTGACTTGTTTGGGTCACATTGTTGGTGATGGAAAATTGGAATTGGAAGAGTCGAAAGTGACGGCCATCAAAAACGCAGAGAGACCAGAGACAAGTCACGTAAGCATGTATAGTTTGTCTATAAATGGTAAGTTTTAATTTGAGTTTGTTTTGCGGTGTAAGGACTCTTAATTGTCCGCACCACTGGGCGGATATACGTCACGGGCTTGACCGGTTGTGCACGGAATGGACACTTGTTTACGGTCCACAGTTTTGTGAGTTCGTGTAGCCGATATGTAAATATAGCTGTTTCCGATATTGTGAACAAGGCACAGACGACAGACTGTGGTAAGTTATGTTTCTTTCTTCCGTTTCCATATGTTTTTTTTCTGGCATTATTTTATCCATGCCGTCAAATCTATCGGGTCAAGCAATCGAGGTGTCGGTGCGCTCCAATCATGCGTAACTATTGTTGATACATGTAGTACACTTGTTTTGTGGTGTGTTTCTGCTATATCATTTTAATTTCATACTTCCTATTGATTTCTGGTGTATTTAGATAATATAAACATAATAGATTGTTGTGTGTAGAATTATTTAATAAATATAGGGTTCTTGTCCGTTTTAAAATTCTATGGAAGCTCTGAGCTAGAGCTATAGCGTTAGTTGGAGTGTGTACGCGCACTGGGTAAAAAAGTATGGAAGCCGTGAGACGCCAACTTCTATGAATTGTGCTTAGTCGTGTTTTTATAGCCATTTGGAGCCGCACACTTATCCCTTTATCTTTATTATATTGATTTACGTATATTTACAATATATTAATGAATATTTATATTATTGATAATTAATTATTAGTTAATTAGTATGCCAGGTGAGAGTGAATCTGTGTGACTACAGCATTATTTTCCACTATGTATTATTGTAGCTTCACATAACGGACTAGGATTCTCAGCTATCAAGCCAGGACCAGTCAGCTGTGCCAACTCATTGTGACTCCAGCGTCAGGACCGACCGGATAAGTTCTCTTCGCCAGGGTCAAGGTCAGCATGGAATACATGTGTTGGGTCGTTACGTAGGCCAGGGTCAGCGACTTGCTTGGAGGCTGAGTCACAGTATATCTACTATTGGGATGGCTGTCGTGTCAAGGACACTAGTGTGTACATCCCAGCTTTCCTGTCGTGTCTTGGACACTAGTGAGTTTGCCAATTTGGGCGTTTCAAGCAAGCATGGTGCTGCTTGATGTGTTTATACCTCTTGGCTCTGGATTGAGCGTGGTTGCAGGTTAGCGACTGTCTTGCACCGGAACTGTACCAGGATCCCATTCGTCGTTGTGTGTGTAGCTACAGACTGTAACTTGTAATAATTGTGTTTGTGAATGAGTGAATTAGTGAGTGTGACGTGTGGGTATTATAGGTTTTTTTTTTATTTAATCTCTTTATTGTCATCATTGTAAATAAACATTTGTCATTGCAATCAATCTTTTCGGTGTTCATTCCCCGGATCGCTGACCGACGCTCGTTCCACGTTAACAACATGGTGGCAGCGGTGGGATTAGCCAAAGTTAGTTGTTCGGGAATAGAATCCTGTTTGATTGGTTTCAAAGTCTAGATTGTTTGACAGATTCCCGCCAAATTTCCTTTACTTTCATTTTCTTCTTAACGTTGGCATTTGGGGACTCTATACAGGAACTCTGAGGTGAGTTAATTGGCCTAAGCAAGGATGACGCATGACTTCCGGTAAGTTCTTATGCCTGGTTGTATTGAATATTGTATGTGTTGGTTATCTCTTGCAGTCTAGTGATTTAGTTGTTTTGAAAATGTCCTCTCTTTCAGCAATTTTGGAAGCAGGTAAGCGACTTCAACTTGAAGGCGACCAACTACGATTGTTCATTCAAGAGCAGCAAGCCAAGGAAAGAGATGACCGTGAAAGAGAAAGGGAAGAGAAAAAGATGCAAAGGCAAATGGAAGAGGAAAGAGAGGCTCGGGCTGACAGGAGAGCAGAAGAAGAACATAAACGCAAAATGGAATTAATTCGTGCAGAACAGGAGTATCAATCTGAATGGGACAAATCGGGACGTCGGAGGGAGACCAATCCTAGAGATACAATAAAGAAGGGTCCCAAGTTACCTGCCTTCAATGAAGAAAAGGACAACATCGATGCTTACATCCAGCGCTTCGAACGGTACGCAACGGTACAGAATTGGGAACGTGATGGATGGGGAGCTAACCTTAGCGCTCTTTTGACGGGTAATGCATTAGCGGTGTTTTCTCGTTTACCAGTCCATCAGTCTCTGGATTTCGACGAACTTAAGAAGGCATTACTGAGGAGATTTGATATGACAGGGGAAGGATTCAGGAAAAGCTTCCGAACATCAAGACCCGATGGAAGTGAAACATTTTCACAGTTTTCCATTCGCCTTGAAAACTACTTGGAGAGATGGGTCGAACTAGCCGACACTAACAAGACCTATGAAGGCTTGAAAGACTTGTTTTTGAGAGATCAGTTTTTACAGGTATGTAACCAGGATCTGATGTTGTTCCTGAAGGAACGGATTCCCGTGTCCCTTGATGCAATGTCCAGACTGGCCGATCAATATGTAGAGGCAAGAAGAACGAAAGCGGCAAACTTGATATCTTCTAAGGGAACCAAGGCAGGAAATCATAAGGCAACAGCTTCAGGACATTCGCCGTCAACAAGTTCTACACCGGGGAAATCTACAATTGGTTCAAGCGACTTGCCCAAGGAGAGGACTTGTTTCTATTGCAAAAAGGTTGGACATATTGCTTCAGATTGCCGGAAGAAGAAATCTGACAAGATGAAAGAAGGTCAGGCAGCCTCTATGGTAAAAGATAAAGGGAACACGAGTGGCGCCAACACCATACCGAAGATGAGTTTCGCCTGCAATACAAAGGAGACAACTTCCATGCCGGTGGTGCTGGGACGTGTGGGCGGTAAAGTTGTCACCGTTCTTCGGGATTCGGGTTGTGATGAGGTAGGAGTGAGACGTAGTCTCGTTGAACCTGAGAATATCACCGACAAGACCAAGACTTACATTTTAGCTGATGGTTCTCGTCTTGTATGCCAAATCGCCAACGTACAGATCAACACGCCATATTTTAACGGAGATACTGAAGCCTTCTTGTTAGAGTCACCCTTGTACGATGTGATTATTGGAAATGTTAAGGATGCCCTTCCGGTAGGACAACCAGATGAGAAGTGGCAGCTTGATTCGTTGAATGCGGTTCAGACGAGAGCGGAGGTCAAGAGGAAAGCTAAGCCGTTGAAACCGTTGCAGGTATCGGAGTTTATGACGAGTTTAGGTAGTGTGAAGGAGATGAAGGAGGAACAGCAAAGCGATGGTACCCTGGAGAAGTTCCGTAAGTTGGCAAAGGAATTGGATACGTATGAACGCGATGATGGGGGTAAGTCTTCCCTGTTTTACCACAAGGGATTAATATATCGAGAGTTCAGAAGCCCTGGGATTGCAACTGGAAAGGTGTTTAGACAATTAGTCGTACCAACGAAGTATCGACAGATGATAATAAAACTAGCTCACGAGTCGATTATGTCGGGACATCTGGCAGCAAAACGAACGACTAACAGGATTCTTGCAGAGTTTTTTTGGCCTGGTCTGCAGGGCGATGTGACTCGGTTCTGTCGTTCGTGTGATGTGTGCCAACGTACCTTCCCTAAAGGCCGAGTACCGAAAGCGCCACTCGGCAGTATGCCATTGATCGATACGCCTTTCAAGAGGATAGCGGTGGATTTAGTTGGTCCTCTCGAACCTGCAACAGACCGTGGCAACCGGTTTATACTGACAGTAGTGGATTTCGCGACTAGATATCCGGAGGCAGTAGCACTTAGAAGCATTGAGACTGAGCGCGTTGCAGAGGCACTGGTTGATATCTTCAGCCGTGTTGGAGTACCCAGTGAGATGTTGTCCGATCAAGGGCCCAGTTTACCTCTGGATTAATGAAGGAAGTGAGCAGACTATTGTCGATCCGCCAACTAACGACAACGCCATATCATCCTCAATGCAACGGGTTAGTCGAGCGTTTCAATGGTACACTGAAACAGATGCTAAGGAAAATGGCCGCTGAGAAACCCAAGGACTGGGATAGATACATCAATGCCCTCTTGTTCGCTTATAGGGAGGTGCCGCAAGAAAGCTTGGGGTTGTCACCCTTTGAACTATTGTACGGCAGAGCGATACGTGGACCGATGATGATTCTGAAAGAACTGCTAACGAAAGAGATTTCAGATGATGACGTCAAAACGACTTATCAGTATGTAATGGATTTGAGGGAACGGATGGAGGAGACATGCCAAGTTGCAATGGATCACTTGAAGGATGCCAAGCGAGTTCAGAGAAGGAACTTCAACAGGAGAGCCAAGTCACGGGAGCTACGACCAGGCGACAAAGTGTTAGTGCTTCTGCCGACAAAAGCTAACAAGTTACTGATGCAATGGCGTGGCCCATACGAAGTTGTAGAGAAAGTCGGACCGTTCGACTATCGTGTGAACAGGGACGGTAAAATCAAGACTCTACATATTAACCTGTTGAAAAAGTACATGAAGCCAGTGGACAATGTTGCGGAAGATACTGAGGGAATTCTCGCAAACACTATAGCAAGTGTTGTTGCTGATGGTGAGGAGATTCAGGGGGACGCGGATTTTCCCAGCAGATTGGAGTCCCTTCCTAGTGATAGGGGAAAGGAACATGTTGAAGATGTTGAAATCTCGGGAGGCCTGAACAATGCACAAGCAGATGAAGTGAAGGAGCTCATGGACAGTTATACAGATGTGCTAACTGATCTTCCAGGCCGGACAAATCTCGCCCAACATGAGATCAGGACTACTACCGATGCTCCCGTTCATGTGAAACAATACCCCTTGCCTTATATTACCAAGGAGGTGATCAAAGAAGAGGTGCAGAAGATGTTGGATATGGACGTTATCGAGCCATCATCATCCCCATACTCGGCTCCTGTTGTAATGGTCAAGAAAAAGGAGGGGACGAATTGTTTTTGCATTGATTTCAGGAGACTAAATCGAGTCACGGTATTTGATGCCGAGCCGATGCCAAACACAGATGATATTTTCTCTCGGGTAGCGGGTGCAAGATACTTCTCCAAACTGGATCTCAGTAAAGGCTATTGGCAGGTGCCGCTCTCGGAAGACGCAAAAGAGATGACAGCCTTTTCAACTCCACAAGGCCTTTTCCAGTTTAAGGTAATGCCGTTTGGCTTAGTAAATGCCCCGGCAACATTTAGTAGGCTGATGAGGAAACTTTTAGTTGGTATGGAACACATCGATAACTTCATCGACGACATATTGATTTACACAGACACATGGAATGAACATATGGAAGTACTTCGCGATCTTTTTGCAAGGCTTCGAGCAGCAGTGCTAACAGCAAGACCAACAAAATGCTCGATTGGATTTTCCAGTTTGACTTGTTTGGGTCACATTGTTGGTGATGGAAAATTGGAATTGGAAGAGTCGAAAGTGACGGCCATCAAAAACGCAGAGAGACCAGAGACAAAGAAACAAGTTCGCTCTTTTTTGGGGTTGGCCGGATTCTATCGGCGTTTCATTCCTAATTTCGCAGCAGTTGCCGCCCCCTTGACTGATCTGACGAAGAAGGGATGTCCAAATAAAGTTCTTTGGAGCGAAGTGCACGATAAGGCATTCTCTACTCTCAAGAACATGCTAACAGCTAAACCGGTGCTCAGACTTCCAAATTTGGAGCAACAGTTCATTCTCCGAACAGACGCATCGGATACTGGCTTGGGTGCTGTGCTGCTGCAGGAAGAAAACGGACAGAAAATGCCTGTCGCCTACGCCAGCAGGAAGTTACTTGCCAGGGAAAAGAACTACGCAATTATAGAAAAGGAATGTTTGGCAATTGTCTGGGCAGTCCAGAAGTTTGAACCTTACATCTATGGGAAAGAGTTTATCCTTGAGACGGACCATCACCCATTAACTTACTTGCACAGATCAAAAACTGCGAATGCCAGACTTATGAGATGGGCGTTACTCCTACAGCCATACAGATTGAGGATTCGTGCCATCAAGGGTTCCGACAACGTTGGAGCGGATTATTTGAGCAGAATCTAGGAATACATGTTCCGTGAGTATGAGAAAGTGTACACTTTCTTCGAAAGCAGGGGGAAAACTGTCACGTAAGCATGTATAGTTTGTCTATAAATGGTAAGTTTTAATTTGAGTTTGTTTTGCGGTGTAAGGACTCTTAATTGTCCGCACCACTGGGCGGATATACGTCACGGGCTTGACCGGTTGTGCACGGAATGGACACTTGTTTACGGTCCACAGTTTTGTGAGTTCGTGTAGCCGATATGTAAATATAGCTGTTTCCGATATTGTGAACAAGGCACAGACGACAGACTGTGGTAAGTTATGTTTCTTTCTTCCGTTTCCATATGTTTTTTTTCTGGCATTATTTTATCCATGCCGTCAAATCTATCGGGTCAAGCAATCGAGGTGTCGGTGCGCTCCAATCATGCGTAACTATTGTTGATACATGTAGTACACTTGTTTTGTGGTGTGTTTCTGCTATATCATTTTAATTTCATACTTCCTATTGATTTCTGGTGTATTTAGATAATATAAACATAATAGATTGTTGTGTGTAGAATTATTTAATAAATATAGGGTTCTTGTCCGTTTTAAAATTCTATGGAAGCTCTGAGCTAGAGCTATAGCGTTAGTTGGAGTGTGTACGCGCACTGGGTAAAAAAGTATGGAAGCCGTGAGACGCCAACTTCTATGAATTGTGCTTAGTCGTGTTTTTATAGCCATTTGGAGCCGCACACTTATCCCTTTATCTTTATTATATTGATTTACGTATATTTACAATATATTAATGAATATTTATATTATTGATAATTAATTATTAGTTAATTAGTATGCCAGGTGAGAGTGAATCTGTGTGACTACAGCATTATTTTCCACTATGTATTATTGTAGCTTCACATAACGGACTAGGATTCTCAGCTATCAAGCCAGGACCAGTCAGCTGTGCCAACTCATTGTGACTCCAGCGTCAGGACCGACCGGATAAGTTCTCTTCGCCAGGGTCAAGGTCAGCATGGAATACATGTGTTGGGTCGTTACGTAGGCCAGGGTCAGCGACTTGCTTGGAGGCTGAGTCACAGTATATCTACTATTGGGATGGCTGTCGTGTCAAGGACACTAGTGTGTACATCCCAGCTTTCCTGTCGTGTCTTGGACACTAGTGAGTTTGCCAATTTGGGCGTTTCAAGCAAGCATGGTGCTGCTTGATGTGTTTATACCTCTTGGCTCTGGATTGAGCGTGGTTGCAGGTTAGCGACTGTCTTGCACCGGAACTGTACCAGGATCCCATTCGTCGTTGTGTGTGTAGCTACAGACTGTAACTTGTAATAATTGTGTTTGTGAATGAGTGAATTAGTGAGTGTGACGTGTGGGTATTATAGGTTTTTTTTTTATTTAATCTCTTTATTGTCATCATTGTAAATAAACATTTGTCATTGCAATCAATCTTTTCGGTGTTCATTCCCCGGATCGCTGACCGACGCTCGTTCCACGTTAACAACATGGTGGCAGCGGTGGGATTAGCCAAAGTTAGTTGTTCGGGAATAGAATCCTGTTTGATTGGTTTCAAAGTCTAGATTGTTTGACAGATTCCCGCCAAATTTCCTTTACTTTCATTTTCTTCTTAACGTTGGCATTTGGGGACTCTATACAGGAACTCTGAGGTGAGTTAATTGGCCTAAGCAAGGATGACGCATGACTTCCGGTAAGTTCTTATGCCTGGTTGTATTGAATATTGTATGTGTTGGTTATCTCTTGCAGTCTAGTGATTTAGTTGTTTTGAAAATGTCCTCTCTTTCAGCAATTTTGGAAGCAGGTAAGCGACTTCAACTTGAAGGCGACCAACTACGATTGTTCATTCAAGAGCAGCAAGCCAAGGAAAGAGATGACCGTGAAAGAGAAAGGGAAGAGAAAAAGATGCAAAGGCAAATGGAAGAGGAAAGAGAGGCTCGGGCTGACAGGAGAGCAGAAGAAGAACATAAACGCAAAATGGAATTAATTCGTGCAGAACAGGAGTATCAATCTGAATGGGACAAATCGGGACGTCGGAGGGAGACCAATCCTAGAGATACAATAAAGAAGGGTCCCAAGTTACCTGCCTTCAATGAAGAAAAGGACAACATCGATGCTTACATCCAGCGCTTCGAACGGTACGCAACGGTACAGAATTGGGAACGTGATGGATGGGGAGCTAACCTTAGCGCTCTTTTGACGGGTAATGCATTAGCGGTGTTTTCTCGTTTACCAGTCCATCAGTCTCTGGATTTCGACGAACTTAAGAAGGCATTACTGAGGAGATTTGATATGACAGGGGAAGGATTCAGGAAAAGCTTCCGAACATCAAGACCCGATGGAAGTGAAACATTTTCACAGTTTTCCATTCGCCTTGAAAACTACTTGGAGAGATGGGTCGAACTAGCCGACACTAACAAGACCTATGAAGACTTGAAAGACTTGTTTTTGAGAGATCAGTTTTTACAGGTATGTAACCAGGATCTGATGTTGTTCCTGAAGGAACGGATTCCCGTGTCCCTTGATGCAATGTCCAGACTGGCCGATCAATATGCAGAGGCAAGAAGAATGAAAGCGGCAAACTTGATATCTTCTAAGGGAACCAAGGCAGGAAGTCATAAGGCAACAGCTTCAGGACATTCGCCGTCAACAAGTTCTACACCTGGGAAATCTACAATTGGTTCAAGCGACTTGCCCAAGGAGAGGACTTGTTTCTATTGCAAAAAGGTTGGACATATTGCTTCAGATTGCCGGAAGAAGAAATCTGACAAGATGAAAGAAGGTCAGGCAGCCTCTATGGTAAAAGATAAAGGGAACACGAGTGGCGCCAACACCATACCGAAGATGAGTTTCGCCTGCAATACAAAGGAGACAACTTCCATGCCGGTGGTGCTGGGACGTGTGGGCGGTAAAGTTGTCACCGTTCTTCGGGATTCGGGTTGTGATGAGGTAGGAGTGAGACGTAGTCTCGTTGAACCTGAGAATATCACCGACAAGACCAAGACTTACATTTTAGCTGATGGTTCTCGTCTTGTATGCCAAATCGCCAACGTACAGATCAACACGCCATATTTTAACGGAGATACTGAAGCCTTCTTGTTAGAGTCACCCTTGTACGATGTGATTATTGGAAATGTTAAGGATGCCCTTCCGGTAGGACAACCAGATGAGAAGTGGCAGCTTGATTCGTTGAATGCGGTTCAGACGAGAGCGGAGGTCAAGAGGAAAGCTAAGCCGTTGAAACCGTTGCAGGTATCGGAGTTTATGACGAGTTTAGGTAGTGTGAAGGAGATGAAGGAGGAACAGCAAAGCGATGGTACCCTGGAGAAGTTCCGTAAGTTGGCAAAGGAATTGGATACGTATGAACGCGATGATGGGGGTAAGTCTTCCCTGTTTTACCACAAGGGATTAATATATCGAGAGTTCAGAAGCCCTGGGATTGCAACTGGAAAGGTGTTTAGACAAACTTTAATAAGAAACTAAAGATGGAATGAAGGCACCAAATGGGAGGAAGAGTAAGATGAAAGTCGTCAGGCAGCCTCTCGTAAGTTGCAAAAGGAGGGAACACGATTAGTTTCGGTCGTTGCCAACACCATACCGGTTCTTCGTTCGAGTGTCAAAAGCCTGTTCTGAATACTAAAGGAGTACCGAAAGCGGATTGTGAGCGGTGAAGCCTTCTTCGTTACGATTCGGGTTGTGATGATGTAGGATTGAAACGTAGTCTACCTTCCGTTGCAACCTGAGAATATCACCGACAAGACAATTTTATCACGACTAGACAGTAGTGTGAATCCGGAGGAAACAGTAGACTGATGGAAATTCTTGTTGCCGTTGCAAGGCACTGGGTTCGATGCCATATTTTAACAAGAGATACTGAAGCCTTCTTGTTAGAGTCACCCTTGTACGATGTGACGTGGAAATGTTAAGGATGCCCTTCCGGTAGGACAACCAGATGAGAAGTGGCACGCCAGTTTCCTGCAGATGCAACGGTTCGATACCCTTTCGTTGAATGCGAGACGAGAGCGGAGGTAAGGAAAGCTAAGCCGTTGAAACCGTTGCAGGTATCGGAGTTTATGACGAGTTTAGGTAGTGTGAAGGAGATGAAGGAGGAACAGCAAAGCGATGGTACCCTGGAGAAGTTCCGTAAGTTGGCAAAGGAGATACGTATGAACGCGATGATGGGGGTAAGTCTTCCCTGTTTTACCACAAGGGATTAATATATCGAGAGTTCAGAAGCCCTGGGATTGCAACTGGAAAGGTGTTTAGACAATTAGTCGTACCAACGAAGTATCGACAGATGATAATGAAACTAGCTCACGAGTCGATTATGTCGGGACATCTGGCAGCAAAACGAACGACTAACAGGATTCTTGCAGAGTTTTTTTGGCCTGGTCTGCAGGGCGATGTGACTCGGTTCTGTCGTTCGTGTGATGTGTGCCAACGTACCTTCCCTAAAGGCCGAGTACCGAAAGCGCCACTCGGCAGTATGCCATTGATCGATACGCCTTTCAAGAGGATAGCGGTGGATTTAGTTGGTCCTCTCGAACCTGCAACAGACCGTGGCAACCGGTTTATACTGACAGTAGTGGATTTCGCGACTAGATATCCGGAGGCAGTAGCACTTAGAAGCATTGAGACTGAGCGCGTTGCAGAGGCACTGGTTGATATCTTCAGCCGTGTTGGAGTACCCAGTGAGATGTTGTCCGATCAAGGGGCCCAGTTTACCTCTGGATTAATGAAGGAAGTGAGCAGACTATTGTCGATCCGCCAACTAACGACAACGCCATATCATCCTCAATGCAACGGGTTAGTCGAGCGTTTCAATGGTACACTGAAACAGATGCTAAGGAAAATGGCCGCTGAGAAACCCAAGGACTGGGATAGATACATCAATGCCCTCTTGTTCGCTTATAGGGAGGTGCCGCAAGAAAGCTTGGGGTTTTCACCCTTTGAACTATTGTACGGCAGAGCGATACGTGGACCGATGATGATTCTGAAAGAACTGCTAACGAAAGAGATTCCAGATGACGACGTCAAAACGACTTATCAGTATGTAATGGATTTGAGGGATCGGATGGAGGAGACATGCCAAGTTGCAATGGATCACTTGAAGGATGCCAAGCGAGTTCAGAGAAGGAACTTCAACAGGAGAGCCAAGTCACGGGAGCTACGACCAGGCGACAAAGTGTTAGTGCTTCTGCCGACAAAAGCTAACAAGTTACTGATGCAATGGCGTGGCCCATACGAAGTTGTAGAGAAAGTCGGACCGTTCGACTATCGTGTGAACAGGGACGGTAAAATCAAGACTCTACATATTAACCTGTTGAAAAAGTACATGAAGCCAGTGGACAATGTTGCGGAAGATACTGAGGGAATTCTCGCAAACACTATAGCAAGTGTTGTTGCTGATGGTGAGGAGATTCAGGGGGACGCGGATTTTCCCAGCAGACTGGAGTCCCTTCCTAGTGATAGGGGAAAGGAACATGTTGAAGATGTTGAAATCTCTGGAGGCCTGAACAATGCACAAGCAGATGAAGTGAAGGAGCTCATGGACAGTTATACAGATGTGCTAACTGATCTTCCAGGCCGGACAAATCTCGCCCAACATGAGATCAGGACTACTACCGATGCTCCCGTTCATGTGAAACAATACCCCTTGCCTTATATTACCAAGGAGGTGATCAAAGAAGAGGTGCAGAAGATGTTGGATATGGACGTTATCGAGCCATCATCATCCCCATACTCGGCTCCTGTTGTAATGGTCAAGAAAAAGGAGGGGACGAATCGTTTTTGCATTGATTTCAGGAGACTAAATCGAGTCACGGTATTTGATGCCGAGCCGATGCCAAACACAGATGATATTTTCTCTCGGGTAGCGGGTGCAAGATACTTCTCCAAACTGGATCTCAGTAAAGGCTATTGGCAGGTGCCGCTCTCGGAAGACGCAAAAGAGATGACAGCCTTTTCAACTCCACAAGGCCTTTTCCAGTTTAAGGTAATGCCGTTTGGCTTAGTAAATGCCCCGGCAACATTTAGTAGGCTGATGAGGAAACTTTTAGTTGGTATGGAACACATCGATAACTTCATCGACGACATATTGATTTACACAGACACATGGGAAGAACATATGGAAGTACTTCGCGATCTTTTTGCAAGGCTTCGAGCAGCAGTGCTAACAGCAAGACCAACAAAATGCTCGATTGGATTTTCCAGTTTGACTTGTTTGGGTCACATTGTTGGTGATGGAAAATTGGAATTGGAAGAGTCGAAAGTGACGGCCATCAAAAACGCAGAGAGACCAGAGACAAAGAAACAAGTTCGCTCTTTTTTGGGGTTGGCCGGATTCTATCGGCGTTTCATTCCTAATTTCGCAGCAGTTGCCGCCCCCTTGACTGATCTGACGAAGAAGGGATGTCCAAATAAAGTTCTTTGGAGCGAAGTGCACGATAAGGCATTCTCTACTCTCAAGAACATGCTAACAGCTAAACCGGTGCTCAGACTTCCAAATTTGGAGCAACAGTTCATTCTCCGAACAGACGCATCGGATACTGGCTTGGGTGCTGTGCTGCTGCAGGAAGAAAACGGACAGAAAATGCCTGTCGCCTACGCCAGCAGGAAGTTACTTGCCAGGGAAAAGAACTACGCAATTATAGAAAAGGAATGTTTGGCAATTGTCTGGGCAGTCCAGAAGTTTGAACCTTACATCTATGGGAAAGAGTTTATCCTTGAGACGGACCATCACCCATTAACTTACTTGCACAGATCAAAAACTGCGAATGCCAGACTTATGAGATGGGCGTTACTCCTACAGCCATACAGATTGAGGATTCGTGCCATCAAGGGTTCCGACAACGTTGGAGCGGACTATTTGAGCAGAATCTAGGAATACATGTTCCGTGAGTATGAGAAAGTGTATCCACTTTCTTCGAAAGCAGGGGGAAAACTGTCACGTAAGCATGTATAGTTTGTCTATAAATGGTAAGTTTTAATTTGAGTTTGTTTTGCGGTGTAAGGACTCTTAATTGTCCGCACCACTGGGCGGATATACGTCACGGGCTTGACCGGTTGTGCACGGAATGGACACTTGTTTACGGTCCACAGTTTTGTGAGTTCGTGTAGCCGATATGTAAATATAGCTGTTTCCGATATTGTGAACAAGGCACAGACGACAGACTGTGGTAAGTTATGTTTCTTTCTTCCGTTTCCATATGTTTTTTTTCTGGCATTATTTTATCCATGCCGTCAAATCTATCGGGTCAAGCAATCGAGGTGTCGGTGCGCTCCAATCATGCGTAACTATTGTTGATACATGTAGTACACTTGTTTTGTGGTGTGTTTCTGCTATATCATTTTAATTTCATACTTCCTATTGATTTCTGGTGTATTTAGATAATATAAACATAATAGATTGTTGTGTGTAGAATTATTTAATAAATATAGGGTTCTTGTCCGTTTTAAAATTCTATGGAAGCTCTGAGCTAGAGCTATAGCGTTAGTTGGAGTGTGTACGCGCACTGGGTAAAAAAGTATGGAAGCCGTGAGACGCCAACTTCTATGAATTGTGCTTAGTCGTGTTTTTATAGCCATTTGGAGCCGCACACTTATCCCTTTATCTTTATTATATTGATTTACGTATATTTACAATATATTAATGAATATTTATATTATTGATAATTAATTATTAGTTAATTAGTATGCCAGGTGAGAGTGAATCTGTGTGACTACAGCATTATTTTCCACTATGTATTATTGTAGCTTCACATAACGGACTAGGATTCTCAGCTATCAAGCCAGGACCAGTCAGCTGTGCCAACTCATTGTGACTCCAGCGTCAGGACCGACCGGATAAGTTCTCTTCGCCAGGGTCAAGGTCAGCATGGAATACATGTGTTGGGTCGTTACGTAGGCCAGGGTCAGCGACTTGCTTGGAGGCTGAGTCACAGTATATCTACTATTGGGATGGCTGTCGTGTCAAGGACACTAGTGTGTACATCCCAGCTTTCCTGTCGTGTCTTGGACACTAGTGAGTTTGCCAATTTGGGCGTTTCAAGCAAGCATGGTGCTGCTTGATGTGTTTATACCTCTTGGCTCTGGATTGAGCGTGGTTGCAGGTTAGCGACTGTCTTGCACCGGAACTGTACCAGGATCCCATTCGTCGTTGTGTGTGTAGCTACAGACTGTAACTTGTAATAATTGTGTTTGTGAATGAGTGAATTAGTGAGTGTGACGTGTGGGTATTATAGGTTTTTTTTTTATTTAATCTCTTTATTGTCATCATTGTAAATAAACATTTGTCATTGCAATCAATCTTTTCGGTGTTCATTCCCCGGATCGCTGACCGACGCTCGTTCCACGTTAACAGAGTGGGAGGTACAGGGGAACACGAAACCTATCTCCTTAGAAACAAAATGGGAGATACAGGGAAACACGAAACCTATCATCTTAGAAAGGAAGGGGAGGGGGAAGTACAGGGGGACACGAAAAATATCTCCTTAGAAAGAGGGGAAGGTACAGGGGAACACGAAACCTATCATCTTAGAAAGAAAGCGGATGGGGAAGTAAAGGGGAACACGAAACCAATCTCCTTAGAAAGAATGTGGGAGAGGGAGGTACAAGGGAACACGGAACCTATCATCTTAGAAAGAAAGGGGAAGGAGAGGTACAGGGTAACACGAAACCTATATTCTTTAATAAGAAATGGGGAGGTTGAGGAACAGGGGAACACAAAACGTATCTCCTTAGACAGAAAGGGGGAGGGGGAGATACAGGGGATCACGGAACCTATCTCCTTAGAAAGAAAAGGGAATGTACAGGGGAACATGAAACCTATCTTCTTAGAAAGAATGTGGGAGGGGTAGGTACAGGATGATACGAAAAATATCTCCTTTGAAAGAGGGGCAGGTACAGGGGAACACGAAACCTATCTCCTTAGAAAGAAAGGGGAAGGGTAGGTACAGGGGAACACGAAACCTATCTCCTTACAAAGGAAGGGGTAGGGGGAGGCGGAGGGGAACACGAAACCTATGTCCTTACAAAGACAATGGGAGGTACAGGGAAACACGAAAACTATCATCTTAGAAAGAAAGGGGTAGGGGGAGGTACAGTGGAACACGGAACAAATCCCCGTGGGAAGAAAGGGGAGGTACAGGGAAACACGAAACCTATCTCCTTAGACAGAAAGGGGGAGGGGGAGATACAGGGGATCACGGAACCTATCTCCTTAGAAAGGAAGGGGGTGTACAGGAGAACACGAAACCTATCTCATTACAAAGAAAGGGGTAGGAGGAGGTGCAGGGGAACACGAAACCTATCTCCTTGCAAAGACAATGGGAGGTACAGGGAAACACGAAACCTATCATCTTAGAAAGAAAGAAGTCCGGTACATATCCCAGTGGGAAGAAAGGGGAGGTACAGGGGAACACGAAACCTATCTCCTTACAAAGAAAGGGGAAGGGGAGGTACAGGGGAACACGAAACCTATCTTCTTAGAAAGAATTTGGGAGGGGGAAGTACAGGGGAACACGAAACCCATCTCCTTACAAAGAAAGCGGATGGGGAAGTAAAGGGGAACACGAAAGCAATCTCCTTAGAAAGAAAATGGGAGATACAGGGAAACACGAAACCCATCTCCTTAGACAGAAAGGGGATGGAGAGTTAAAGGGGAACACGGAACCTATCTCCTTAGAAAGAAAGGGGAAGGGGAGGTACAGGGGAACACGAAACCTATCTCCTTAGCAAGAAAGGGGATGTACATGGGAACACGAAATCTATCTCTTAGTAAGAAAGAGGGAAGTACGGAGGAACAGGAAACCTTTCTCCTTAGCAAGAATGTTGGAGGGGGAGGTACAGGGGAACACGAAACCTATCTCCTTACTAAGAAAGGGGATGTACAGGGGAACACGACACCTATCTCCTTAGAAAGAAAGGTGAAGGGGAGGTACAGGGGAACACGAAATCTATCGCCTTAGCAAGAAAGGTGATGTACAGGGGAACACGAAATATATCTTCTTAGAAAGAATGTGGGAGAGGAATTAAAGGGGAACACGAAACCAATCTTCTTAGAAAGAATGTGGGAGAGGGAGGTACAGGGGAACACGGAACCTATCATCTTAGAAAAAAAGGGGAAGGGGAGGTACAGGGGAACACGGAACCTATCTCCTTACTAAGAAAAGGGATGTACAGTAGAAAACGTAACCTATATCCTTAAACAGAAAGGCGGAGGGAGAGGTACAGGGGAACACGGAACAAATCCCCATGGGAAGAAGGGGGAGGTACAGGGAAACACGAAACCTATCTCCTTAGACAGAAAGGGGGAGGGGGAGATAAAGGGGATCACGGAACCTATCTCCTTAGAAAGGAAGGGGGTGTACAGGAGAACACGAAACGTGTCTCATTACAAAGAAAGGGGTAGGGGGAGGTGCAGGGGAACACGAAACCTATCTCCTTACAAAGACAATGGGAGGTACAGGGAAACACGAAACCTATCATCTTAGAAAGAAAGGGGTCCGGAACATATCCCGGTGGGAAGAAAGGGGAGGTACAGGGTAACATGAAACCTATCTCCTTAGAAAGAAAGGAGAAGGGGAAGTACAGGGGATCGAGCAAACCTATCTTCTTAGAAAGAATGTGGGAAGGGGAGGTACGGGGGAACACGGAACCTATCTCCTTAGTAGGAATTGGGGAGGGGAGAGTAGAAGGGAACACGACACCAATCTCCTTATAAAGAAACGGGTAGGGGGAGGTACAGAGGAACACGAAACCTATCTGATTAAAAAGAAATGGGGAGGTACAGGGGAACACGAAACCTATCTCCTTAGAAAGAAAATGGGATGTACAGGGGAACACGAAACCTATCTCCTTAGAAAGAAAGGAGAGGGGGAAGTACTGGGGAAAACGAATCCTATCTCCTTAGACAGAAAGGTTGAGGGGGTGATACAGGGGAACACGGAACATATCCCCTTGGGAAGAAAGGGGGAGAGTGAGTAACAGGGGAACACAAAACGAATCTTCTTAGAAAGAATGGGAGGATGGGAGGTAGAGGGGAACACAAAACCTATATCCTTAGAAAGAAATAGGGATGTACAGGGGAACACGAAACCTATCTCCTTAGAAAGAAAATGATAGATACAGGGGAACACGAAACCTATCATCATGGAAAGAAAGGAGGAGGGGAAGTACAGGGGAACGAGCAAACCTATCTTCTTAGAAAAAATGTGGGAAGGGAAGATACAGGGGAACATGGAACCAATCTCCTTAGTAAGAATGGGGAGGGGAGAGTAGAAGGGAACACGAAACCAATCTCCTTAGTAAGAATGTGGGAGGGGGAGGTACAGGGGAACACGAAACCAATCTCATAAGAAAGAATGTGGGAGAGGAAGATACAGGGGAACATGGAACCAATCTCTTTAGTAAGAATGGGGGAGGGGAGAGTAGAGGGGAACACGAAACCAATCTCCTTAGTAAGAATGTGGGAGGGGGAGATACAGGGGAACACGGAACCTATCATTTTAGAAAGAAAGGGGGGGGGGGGTACAGGGGAACACGAAACCTATCATCTTAGAAAAAAAGGTGGAGGGGTGGTACAGGGGAACACGACACCTATCACCTAAGAAAGTATGGGAAAGGGGGTACAACGGGAACACGACATCTATCTCCTAAGACAGAAAGAGGGAGTGGGAGGTATAGGGGAACACGAAACCTATATCCTTTGAAGGGAAGGGGGAGGTAGAGCGAAACACAAAACCTATCTCCTTTGACAGAGGGGGAGGTAGAGGGGAACACGAAACCTATCTCCTTTAGAAAGAAAGGGGGAGGTTGAGAAAAGGGGGACACGAAACGTATCTCCTTAGAAAGAATGGGGGAGGGGGAGGTACAGGAGAACACGAAACATATCTCCTTAGAAAGAGGGGGAGGTACAGGGGAACACGTGACCTATCTTCTTAGAAAGAAAGAGGGAGGGGGAGGTACAGGGGAACACGAAACGTATCTCCTTAGAAAGAATGGGAGAGGGTGAGGTACAGAGGAACACAAAACTTATCTGCTCAGAAAGAATGGGGGAGGGTGAGGTAGAGGGGAACACGAGACCTATCTCCTTAGACAGAAAGAGGGAGTGGGAGGTATAGGGGAACACGAAACCTATATCCTTTGAAGGGAAGGGGGAGGTAGAGCGAAACACAAAACCTATCTCCTTTGACAGAGGGGGAGGTAGAGGGGAACACGAAACCTATCTCCTTTAGAAAGAAAGGGGGAGGTTGAGAAAAGGGGGACACGAAACGTATCTCCTTAGAAAGAATGGGGGAGGGGGAGGTACAGGAGAACACGAAACATATCTCCTTAGAAAGAGGGGGAGGTACAGGGGAACACGTGACCTATCTTCTTAGAAAGAAAGGTGGAGGGTGAGGTACAAGGAAACACAAAACCTATATCCTTTGAAAAAAAGGTGGAGGGGAGGTAGAGGGGGACACAAAACATATCTCCTTAGAAAGAAAGGTGGAGGGGGAGGTACGGGGAAACACAAAATCTATATCCTTTGAAAGAGGCGGAGGTAGAGGGGAACACGAAACCTATATCCTTAGAAAAAAGGGGGAGAGTGAGGTACAGGGGAACACGAAACCTATCTCCTTAGAAAGAAAGGGAGAGGGTGAGGAACAGGAAAACACGAAACGTATCTCCTTAGAAAGAATTGGAGAGTGTGAAGTACAGAGGAACACAAAACCTCCTCAGAAAGAATGGGGGAGAAAGTACAGGGAAACATAAAACATATCTCCTTGGAAAGAAAGGTGGAGGGGGAGGTACAGGGGAACACGAAACATATCTCCTTAGAACGAAAGGGTTGGGGGTTCACAGGAACACGAAACCTATATCCTTTGAAAAAAAGGGTGAAGGGGAGGTAGAGGGGAACACGAGACCTATCTCCTTAGAAAGAGGGGGAGGTAGAGGGGAACATGAAACCTATCTCCTTAGAAAGAAAGGGGAAAGGGGAGGTAGAGGGGAACACGAGACCTATCTCCCTAGAAAGAGGGGGTGGTAGAGTGGAACACGAAACCTATCTCCTTAGAAAGAAAGAGGGAGGGGGAGGTACAGGGGAACACGAAACGTATCTCCTTAGAAAGAATGGGAGAGGGTGAGGTACAGAGGAACACAAAACCTATCTCCTTAGAAAGAAAGAGGGAGGGGGAGGTACAGGGGAACACGAAACGTATCTCCTTAGAAAGAATGGGAGAGGGTGAGGTACAGA